AGAAAGTCTCTCTCCTGTGGTGGTAGCTCAGCTCAGTCTGTTCTCAGTCCGTCTGGCACTGGAAAATGCCGCTGCCCAGGCCAGGCCCCTGTGGGCCGCAGGTGCAAGCTCCTGGTGCTCCCCTGGGTCCCCAGTCCAGAGCAGGTTCAAATAATTCCAGGAAAAAAAGGAAAAAAACTTTCCGGGGAACTTCTCTGCTTCAGTTAGTCAGAAACTAACAAAAAGCAAAGGAGGAGAGCTCTCTCCGTTGTCCACCACAGTGGCACAGTCCAGGAGGAGGAGAGGATGGAACTCCTATCTCTGTGTTTTGAAAACAACCGCCTCAGACATTCCACTGCTTCTTCTCCCCCCTCCTTCACTCTCAAATCCAGCCTTAAAGGTACAAAACTTACTTCTGGGCTAAACAGACAAATGGGGATACAATTCAACATGACAAAGTCACCCCAGGACACTGCACTTCTAAGGTATTCTGCAGTTGCAGAGAGATGAGCAAATCACACAGTGCAAATGGGACAGATGAACCAAGGAGTGTCGCAGAATCATAGATTGGTTTGGGTTGGAAGGGGCCTTAAAGCTCACCCAGTTCCAGCCCACTGCCATGGGCAGGGACACATCACTAGACCAGGTTTCTCCAAGCCGTGTCCAGCCTGGCCTGAGAACTGTTATCTGTGGTCTTGGACTTTTACATTTTGGTAGCTCCAGTCTCATCCCGTGGCCTGAACACCCATTAGTTGTTGGTATGGGGTGTCATGCTAGTTTGACTTACATTCTTTTCTCAGATGATGCAACAGCTTAAGCATTTTTAATTATGAGTAGCAGTGAATCAGAAGGAAAACATGGTTTCTTGCAAATGAGGCATCTATAAATCAAGGATAAACAAAGCTGACTTTGGTATATGGAAGACATCTTTTTCCCATGAAAACATTGTAGACCATTGAGTGAGTGTGTGAAAATTAATGATGCAGATGAAATAGATTAATATTAAGTAATGGGAGCACAAGATAAAATCATAAATAAAAAAATAAACTTATTACAATAAAATTATAAATAAAAGAAATGTAGTGCAGTTTTACAGTACTGATTTTTTTCTTGGCTTCCAGCAGTGGTAAGCTATAGAATTATACTAAATTTAAGACTTATTTAAATCACACATGTGTTAACAATGCCGATTAAATTGTTGGATCATTTAAAACTTAAATGATTATACCAGTTTTTTAATCATAAGTAGAGCTTAATTTACATTAGTTTCATGTTTTCTTATGCTTTCAGTGTTAATTTAAATTTTCAATTTGATTATTTTCCCCACTCTGCTTAAAGCACTAAAGCATATACTGTACCTTAGTGAGTCCTTCCATTTTTCTAATGTATCTTGCAACATGTGGCATAGGAGGATGTAGTGTTTTTGAGATGTGCTTTTGGCCGGGGAAGCTGCTGTGATGGTTGGTAAGCAGAAGTACTGAAATGTGCTTCTAGGATTGGACCTTTCCAGGAAGCAAACCTGATCCTGGGAAAGGACGTACGTGGTCACAGTCTTATTGGGGGCCCACTTGGGTAACCAAACAGACTAAGTAATAACAACTTCTTCAAACACCACTGTGTGTTCTTGATGCAACAGTAGTCTTTTAGTACCAAAAGGTAAGATTGCTCCATCTCTTCCAGAATTAGATGTACTTTCCAGAGTTCTCTCTTTTGAGAAACAGCATGGTTCAGGTTTGTGTGGGTCTTTAATCACCAGCTAAAGACTTCTCCAAGTAATTTGCTGTCACAGAAATGTTCCATCTTCTTTGGAAGAATATTCCTGTCAAAGTTTGTTCTTGTTTTCCAAGTGGGTTTTCTCTCCTCCACTTTCAAAGCTTTATTCAACTGGACCTTTTCCATTTACAAACATTTAGGAAAGAATATTGTTCTGAACCTTTATTATAATAGGCAGATTAGTGAAGTATATTGATGTCAACAAACCTCTTAACTGAGAAGCTAAATATTTGTATTTTAGAGGAAAAATATGTAATAAGAAATTTAAAACCCATATTTCTAAAACATGTTGTATATGTTAATTAAGAATATTAAAAGTTGGTATTTTCAAGACATAGTGGTAGTTATGGCTCAGGAAAAACCATATGTGGCCTCCTCCTTTGGAAGGAGCTCTGCTATGGAATAATCAATAAACTATCCATGGTGTGTTACCAGGAAATAATGAAGCTTGACCTATTGACTTATTAATATGAGTAGTTTAAGATTAGCTGGGTGGGTTTTGTCTTTGGAACTTGATGCTTTTCCAAGTGTTTGGTTGTTGTAAAATGCCTGATGGAGCAGAAATGATAGGGCCGAGGCTGTAACCTTTGTTACAAGCACTTTGTCCTCATTAGTGTTTATTGTCATTACTTAATTAGCAAATGCTGCAACATAAACAGAGGGAGGCTGGACAGTGGCTGAATTTGAGGAATGTGTTTATGTAAAACAAAACAATAAAGAAAACAACACCACCTTGACCTCCAGGAGTTTGATTAAAAATTGTTACACAACAAAAATACTTTGCTTGAACAACCTGTAACAAGAAATGGATACTTTTTCCTAACTACAGGGGATGTAGCAATAGTAGTAATCTGTTCTGTCATAAAACCGACAATGATTATTTCTAGATTTAAAAAGGTGCAAAACCTGAAACTTCCAGTTGCACAAAATTCCTTTATAATTCTAGTGTTTTGGAAAAGAATATCTCTTTAGTTTTCTGCTATGAGGAATAGAATTATAAATTATTTCACTTTTTTTAAATTGAAAATGGTCCCATGGCAAAGTTGGTCGCACTTTGGTTTTCAGTTTGTAGAGAAAGCCTAACATGGATTTCAGTTCACCTCAATGTTGGAGCTGACATTAAGAATTAGAGTTCTGTATTTTCTGGACTGAATTAACAGTTGTAGGAGTGAGAGTAGTTTAGCCATTCTTTTTATGTGTCGCAAAACACAAGACTCTCATGCCTGGATCACATGCTGTGTGGAAAATTTGAACTCTTAAGTTTTTACTACAGATGTGTGAAAATGCTGGTTTTCTGTGTGAATCTTGTGCTTGCTTGGTCTGGGTGAGAAAGTTTTAGTTGTTATGTCATTTATGACTATATTGTAGTCATGTAATTTAATTTTTTTTCTGTTTCTTCAGTAGACCATTAGCAAAACCAAAACTTGACAGTGGAAGCTGCTGTGCTCCTAGTAATTGTTATTCTTAATCCAAACTGGATTTCACTGATAATTTCTTTGTTGCAATAATCTGAAGCTTCACTTGAGTAACTTCAGAGTTTCAGAGAATCACAGAATGATTTGTGATGAAAAGTACATTTAAGCTTACCTGATTCCAACTCCTGCCATGGCCAGGGGCACCTTCCAGCCTTCCAGTAGGCGAGGTTGCCTCAAGCCCTATCCAACCTGGCCTTGAGCAATTCCAAGGATGGGGCAGCGACATCTCTAGGCAACCTGTGCCAGGGCCTCACCACCATCACAGGGAAGAATTTCTTCCTAATATCTAATCAAAACCTTCCTTTCTTCAGCTTAGTTTAGTTAGTCTTTTAGCTTCAGTTTAGTTCCTTAAATTCTTTCCCCATAGTTGCATATATCCCACAAAAGTTTTGGAATGTTGTTTATAAACACGAGTGTTTTAAAACAGCCTGTAGAAAGTAGTGGTGGTTTCAGTTGATCTTTGCCGTTGAGATGACCATGTATCTTACTCAAATCTTGCATGGCTGGAGTTTCAGATGTACTTTTTAAGCATAACCTCAGTGAAAACAGAGGGAGCTGACCCACTTTTTAAGGGTTTGTCTCTACCCTTGCCTTAACTTCCTTCTAATTCACACTTCAATCCCTGCTTTGCATTAACCGGTTCTTCAGTTATCTCACCTGCTGGTAGGTGCTAAAATGTGATTGATGTTGACAGTCTGAGTTTGTAACACGGCAGCTGCAACTACTGAACTGCTAGACCAGCCAGTGTGCTGCTTGTCAAGGAGTTTGTTTTATGTGCTGGGGTTGTGGAATCACTTTCCTGTGTGCCCAGGGAATGAGTAGGTCAAGCATTCCTACCTCAGGCTAGCGGGTCAGGAGTGAAGACAAGCTTACTTAATATGTAAAGCCAGATATATTCAATTCTAGGTACCACTACAGTCACAAATTGATTGATTCGAGAGATTATTGGTCTGTAACACAGCCCACACATCCCCCAGCAGTGTCTAGCTCAGTCCTCTTTTGCTGGTAGCTTCAGCTTCCTCAGATCTGGTTGTATGGTGCCTTCTCCAGAGGTGATTTCTCTAAACTCACCTCTGTTTTTCAGTGTCCAGAAGGAAGTCTCCTGTTAGAGTCGATGAACTAAAGCACATCAGGTTGGTTTTAGCTGCTTTCCTCAGCTGCTGTCTTAGGCTGCCTGTCCTGCTTTGTTTCATTTGTATTCTTTCATGCTTCTTAAACAGAACCCATCACCATGACCCCACTCCTTGTGATGGTACAAGTAGCAACATAAAGACAGAGGTCACAGGTTAAGGCTCAATGTTAGAAAAGAGGTTCTCTGTTCCCCTCTTTGCTGGGAGGATGAAGGGGTGACATAGAGTTGAGGGAGCTCTCATTAAAAATGCTGAGTAGTATTTTGGAGTCTTTGAAATTTATGTGTATTTGTTTTTACAAGGCCCATTCACTTAAAATTTACTAAGGTTTTCTTGTCAGAACTGAAATGTATTATGAGTGGTTTTGAGTATCTGCAAGTAATAATGATTTTCCAAAAGAGCATTCTTTATATTTAGACTTTACATAGCAGACTGTGATGAGGGATGCTGAATAAATTAAAATATTATCGTAATGATACTATCAATTAGCATTTTTAATAGAATAATTTTCATCAAATTTTCTTTGTTTTTTTTTTTGTTTTTTAATAACATGGACCATTGCCTATTATTTTTGTTACTGAAAAGGTAAAATAGGCTGTTCATCTGATTCCTTTTCATTTGCTTTTTTTCCGTCCCACTCTAGTTTTGGCAAGCAGTCTGGGGGAAAGCGAGGATGTGAATGTATCATACTGGAACCTTCAGAAATGATTGTGGTAAGACAGATTTTTTTCATATGTATTTAAATCTATTGCTGGTTTCAGCAAATTCTTTCTCTTTTACAGCAGAAAGCTTATTGTAAAGTATTCTATGAAATTGCAGTAAAATTGCCTTGATTTCAGTTATACCTGTAGCTGCTCTCGTAACAGCAATAGCTATATAAATTTAATCTACATGGATAAATGATGATGATGATTAGGCCATTCTTTCCAAAATTTTGCTTACTTGAATTTCAGAAGCCTAACAGTCATGGCTGAGCTGAGCATTCCTGAGTCAGGCTATGGCAGCCTTCTATCTTGAATATTTTATTTACACCCCCATTCCCCATTTCATGGCTTTTATTGGTCATGTCTGGGTGGAAAAGTGTTTTTCCTCCAGGCCTTTGCAGTGCCACATAGTGTGAAGGCTTATAGGTAGGAGAAGAAGCATTAGAGTTCTTAGCCAAGCTTGAATATCACCATCCTTAATGTTTAGGATTCCTTCTGCTTCTTCAGATCACTTATTGATACTGCCAAGTGCATATATAGATGCATATATACGTGCTTAGAGAGTGTAGCTTAGTCCTTCCCAGTTTGTTGTATACGTGCTCTGAGCAGTTGGAATATTAGGATTGCTTTTCCATAGTGGTGATTGGCATTGTATCCCAGCAGTGTGCCTGGGGACACAGGCAGATCTCTTCCAACTTTCACCTTAGATGTTTTTAATGGAGCTGAAATAAAGTAGTTTGTTGTGCTCAGAACCCATGTGTCTCTTAATGAGACTCTGATCTCCAGATGCTATTGATTTAGCTGCCCTAGATCTAGATATAGTAACGTTAAAACTAATATTTGACAATGTCTCTTACTGAGCATGTAAATACTCAGCTTCCATAAAATACTTGTTTCTCACAGTGCTTTACCAGCAGGGATGTCAGCAGTGTCCTGTACCAAGTCCACTTGCCGTCCTTTGTGCAATTTGCTCTGTGCAATGTCAGTCTGACCCTGCTTGTGGGCTTTGATAGCATCAGTAATATACTCTGTGCTGCAGTACGCATTTTAAGCTACAGTCTGCCATGAAATGCAGGTTAAGAGTGCAAGAAACCTCTCTTCTTGCTCTGGAGTGAAACAGTCAATTTGTTTTATTCTGAATTGTTCAGTCTCTTCTCAGAGCTGGAATTCTGGGGGGAAGATTTATGGCTGGAGGGATGCCACAGGACTATTGGGTGGCAATGTATGCAGCCATGTCATGGGAGTGCCCCAGGCCCTCTGGTTTGCATTTGCTGCTTTGCTTTTTTACTTCTTTAGTTGCAGCTGGCAAGGATCTGGTGTGCTGAACTGAGTATCTGGTATACTCAGTGTGCCTGAGTGCTGTGCCTGGGCTGAGCTGAGTCTTGCACCTCAGTGCTCCTGTAGCAGAGTGGCAAACACTCACTTACCCAGTCATATCTATTATTAGGTGTTAGGAAGAAGTTCTTCCCTGTGAGAGTGGTGAGGCCCTGGTACTGGTTGCCCAAGGTGGCTATGGCTGCTCCATCCCTGGAAGTGTTGAAGACAAGGTTGGATGGGGCTTGGAGCAACCTGGTGTAGTGGAAGACTGGACCAGCCTGGTCTAGCTGGTTACTTGACTCACTGCAAGTGCATTTGTAAGTTTACAGAAAAATGTTTCACGGGCAAAGGAAGTCTTAAGAAATACGTACATCCTTCTTTGGTCATATCACCATTGCAATTAAAAAAAAAAAAAAAGATGAAGATGGAAATAGAAGAGGAGCTTCTGTGCAGTGTGTGCTTCCAGAAAGAAACTGACCCTATTGAAATATTTATTGAAGAAACTAGTGTTGTGTGTGTAACTTGAGCAGGGCCAACTGTGATTACTATTTTCGGGGGAACACATTATCACAGTAGCTGGGGAAGCCAGCATTGGCATGTCAGCAGCCTCACACGACGCTGGGTGTTCCTGGAGACAAAAGCACAGCCCAAACAGCTGTTCGCTTTGTTTTAAATGTCCTAAATTGTCTGTAATTAAATGCCAGTGAGAGAAGAGAGATGCTTGAAAGTATTTTGCACCCTTCTTTGGAACTTCAGTATCATTTTCCAGTAGGAAAATCAGAGATTTAAAAGTGCAGAATAGTTTCTGCATTATATTTATGATCATATTTTATAGATAAATGTAGCTAAAGGTACTATTAGCTATATTTTCTAGGAAGCACTTCAAATAATGTGAGAAAAAAGCATCAGTGTGGTGGCATGCACCTTGCTTATGATCTACCCTGACACAAGGTGTACTTGTGTTTCAGTTCCCTGATTAACTATTATTAATTTATCTTAATTAATTAATCTCAATTATTTTATTTTCTCTGGTTTTTGTTTTGCAACGTACTAATGAGGTTTAATGTATAGGGAATATTTATCTTCATGGAAAAGAACTAATTAGCTACTTTAATGGAATTGAAGAACTCTGTACTGCTGGTGACTAATTTTTTTAAATTTATTTTTTCTTCAACTCCTGTCATTTTAGAATGTAAATCAGTTTTGTAGTGGGAATCCTCTGGGAACAGACTCATTTTAAAGGCCATAAAATGTGGTCAAGTTAATGAGGATAACAGATAGTGTGTGAATGGGCATTGTAACTCATATTCTTGGAGGCTGAGCAATCTGTTGAATTAATAATAGCCCCATTTATCATTTAGGAAGATGGCCCGGAATTGCAGCATATCTTGGTGCATTGAGGTGTCATTACTGTTGTTCCTTGGTGCTTTCATTTTCTTCTTCAGATCTAAGTGTAAGATTTCAGAAGAGCGATGTGATACTTGCAGGTGGAAAATATTTCATTGCTGGTTTGGACTGCAGAGTGAAACAGGGCAATCCTGTGATTCTCCTTGATTTCTGTGTGGCAGCCAGTGCCTTGGTGAAGCTGGTGGTGTGGGAGCATCCTGCTGCTGCCAGTTGTATGAAGTTAGTAAAGAACACTTTTTGATTAGGATATGGCCAGTTAATGTGCTATTCCAGACTTCTTGGCAAAAGAGCACAAGTCTGATGAGGAGCAGCTTAGTGAGCTGGGAGTGCTCAGCCTGGAGAAAAGGAGGCTCAGTACTCATACCTCATCACTCTCTACAACTTTCTGACAGAAGGTTGCAGCCAGGTGGGGATCAGCCTCATCTCCCAGGTAACAAACAATAGAACAAGAGGAAATGACCTCAAGTTGTGGGCCATTCCAACCAGGAGAGGTTTAGATTGGATATTAGGGAAATTTTCTTCATGGGAAGGGTCAACCCCTGGCACAGGCTCCCAGGGCAGTGGTGGGGTCACCATCCCTGGAAGGATTTCTTGGATGTATAGATGTGGCACTTGAGGACATGGTTTAGTGGTGGAGCTGGCAGGGCTAGGGCCATGGTTGGACACGATGATCTTTTGAGTCCTTTTCCAACCTTAACAATTCTAATCTACTGTACTGAGAGTGAAATAATGGGAAGCAGTTTATGGGACAGTGTCTCCATCTGACTTGATGGCAGCCTAGTTCTCCTGGCTCTACAGTGGCCCAGGGAATCTGTCGTCCCTTTGCTCCCACACCAGGACCTGGCTCATAGCATCCACAGAGAAGCTGAATTCCTCCATAGGGGTGTGATGAGGGTGACCTCTCTGCCAACAGGAATTTTTAGTTTTAACCAGGTAAAGCAGGACTGAGTGAGGCGCCTAGGTGTGCTTATCCTGTTGATACACAGAACATTAAAAACGATTATTGTAAATCATAAGTGTTGACAACCTGGTGCTCAGCTGGACTCAAAATATTGCTCGTGCTGGTGGTACTAAGCTGGAAGCTCTGTAGCATGGAGGTCTTTCCTGATTTCTGATTTCCATGTTGTTTTTGTCAACAGCAGTTCACTAAACACAGGTGGTCTCATTTTCCACCACTTGTTTGTTTTGACTTGGTGCTATCAAATTATTTATCCTTACATCTTAGTTTTCAGTTAGAATTGTAGAGAAAAATAATTTCTTCCATAATTGAGTGTTTGATTTAATTAAGCCTTAAAAATACCTGCTTAGTTTAGGGTTTCTTGATAATAAAGGATATCTGTATTGAAAGAGTCTTCGTCTACCTCAGCAGTTTCTCAGGTCCAGGTTAATCTGTTCTTTTGGAGAAGTTCACTGCTTACTTTGGTTTCTATGATCTTGTAAGACTGAATGCAGAAAAAAAAGGATAATGCATTTACTGAAGGAGCTCACATACAAAAATGAAAATTAAATCAGCACAATTTTAGTTATTTAATGAATAACTGTACAAAACCAAAATTCCTTATTTCTGGAGAGCTTCTATACAATTTGAGAGCAACATTGTTTCTAGCTAGAAATCCATATTTATGCTACATGAAGAAAGGTTTGTATATCAATCATCTTAGCGCATTTATTTATGATATTGGGTGGTTTGTTTAAAAAGATTTTTTTGCTTCTTTTTGTGTTTCTACCTGCATGCACTATATTCTTTACACCATTGTGCTTAGAGCAGTGCTGTAAATAGATATATTTGGGTGTTGTCCTGTTCCGTTGCAAAGGGGTAGTAAAATTATAGTGAAAAATGTGGTTATACCTTGCTGGGGGAACTCAGCGTTTCTGAATTATTTTTTTCAAAATATTATGGCATGGGCTTCACTCTTCTTTTCTAACTTTACTCACTGTTGTATCTTTAACCCATGTTATTAATGTATGATTTCTGTATGGAATCAAAAATAACCCACAAGACAAGCTCAGCTGCTTGCACCTTCCTTTGACCTCAAACAGTCCATACGTGTTTGGAAAAAGTGATGTGGAAGGTAGATGTGATCTTGCTTTTGTGATGGTGTAGTTTGGTTACTTTCCTTTTTTCTGCCTGTTAGGTCTTTCTGGGTTTCTTTTCTTGGTATCTTTTGGATTTTAATTTTAAGATAATTCACTTCAGTGTGTGAAGTGAGAGCTGTGTAAGATCATACAGAGGTTCTTCTCCTGTTCCAGTATTATAGTTTTAATGTTTAGGATCTTGCAGTGAAATTTGGAGGAAAAAAAACAAGCAATTGAAGACAGTAGAATCTTCTTCTCTACAATGTATTTACTATGTAGCTTCTTGCCTGCTACAGCCTATTTGCATGAATGTCTGCCCTGCTTCCTGCTGGGAGATATTTTCCCAAAAGGTCAAAAGGAAGTGGGAAAGGATGAGATTGCTTTTTATATAAAAAAAAAGAATTGTAGCTATTGAGATAAAAGGTTTTATGTTAGGTTTTACTAACAAGATAAATTTACCTAATTTTTAGTGTTTATTCATAAATAATATTTAACATGAAGTTATGAATCAAGTTCCAGCCACTTCTCCATAATTCACTGGAAGCTATTAGAAGGCAGTATGACATAGGTGAAATAGCTATTTATAAAAAGCTGGAATATTTAAAGTTGTTTAGCTATGACTGGTACTAGAAATAAATTTTTCTTTTAAAAATTACACTGCAAAAATAGGCTATAATTCAATATTTTTGCCAGATTGTAAATACACAAAAATGGTAGCTTCTGTGTTGAAGATAAACTTGAAATGAACAGTGTCTGTAACTCCTTCATGATACATATGGGTGCAGAAGAGTTTCTATTGATGAGTGACATTGTTTAGAGGATATGTGTGCCTTTTTTACTTTTTTCTTTTCTTTTTTTTTTTTTTTTTCTTAAATACACTGTTTCCCGGAAGGAAACTGTGGCCTCCATCTCATTAGGCACTTCTGAGATCTGCAGCAGTGGTTCTCTGAAACAACCACAGTAGTTTTCTCCAGAAAAGTTTAGGTGCCCTGAACTTAGGTTTTTTGCTTCCCCATGAGCTTCATCCGGCTCTATCGGCTCTCAGTGCTATGGAAGAACTGGATGTTTAACCAGGAGCCTGAACATGTGTTTCAGGTGGAGAACTCTAAAGACAATGAGGAAAACATCTTGCAAAGAGAAGTCCCACTCCGGCAGTCCCGTCGGAGGTATAGGAAGATCAACCAGAGGGGCGAGCGTCAAACCATCACGGACCATGTGGATTCCAGCAGCTACGTGTCGGTGAGTGTAACGGCTTTTTCCCTTGGCATCATGATATCTGCTTGTCTGGCTGGAATTTTCTTTTGGTGACAAAACTAGTGAAGTGAAATAGTCCATGCTTGCTGTTTTTGAGAACACTTCTTTTGCGTTGAGGGGTAGTGAAGTGGTTTGGATTGGAATACCAAAGGTGGAGGTGAAAAGATGGGGGATTTTGGTTTCAAGATTTTCAGCTGAGCACTATAAATAAATCTTAACATGCTCACTGGATAGAGAAATGGTCATTCTTCATTTTTTGTTGGTTTTACCTGGAGTTCTTTTGATAAGATGTAGGAATTGGTGAATTTCTTTTTTTTTTTCTTTTCCTTGATAAATTTGAACTGTGATTTAGAGTTAATTGCAAATGTGGATCAATATAGCATTGATGCTCTTGTACTTGGTTGTGTTTACTTGCTTAAAAATATTGTAGTGGTAGTTCAGGCATCAAAAAGAGTAACAACTCATCTGCTAGTCTTAAGTAGCAGCAGAGACTATAAACCCTGCACTGTGTGAAGGCATGTACCTCTCGTTTCAGGGCTGCAAAGCATATGTGAAGGTTTTTCTTCACCATTATTTTTGAAACTTCCTGCTTGGTGACAGGGTATATGTGATCTAGACAAATAATTTAATTGAAAATAATTTTTCTGGATAAGTTGATCTGCTTTGAAAATTAAAGGTTAAAACCAGTGCTAACCTTGAAGTACAAGCCTGTAATAGTATTCATGCTCAGAAGAGAAAAACACAATTTCTCCCACTTTTCCCCACCTTCCTTTTCATCTCCCCAAAAGTGATAAATTTTCAGTTGATAATGCTTCAGAATATCTGATGTGTGCTGTCAGATAATTTACATAAACAGATCCTTTTTCTGCATGTTGGTAGCATTGGGTCACAGGTGGTGATTTTAGGCCCTACACAGCATTACTATGCCTGTGACAGGAAGAGAATATGCTGCTTGAAGTTTAACATCCTCTGCCATCTCGTTTCTAGAAGTGTCACATACGTTGGATTTTATCATTAGTAAGACATTAAATTAGTTATTGAAGAAATACTGTTGAGATTGTTCAGAGATGTTGAATCCTCACACTCTGGGCGGGTGTGCATAAAGCTTTATTAGGAATTCAATTCCAATCCGTGTATGACAGAATCTGTCTCTGGTGTTTGTGACAGTGAATAAGCACACATTCTCAGGTTTCATTGCTAAGAGTAGGAGAGTCCTAGGAACAGCTGATGCTGGTGCTACCTATGCAGCTTCCCTGGAGGGCTGCGTGAGAAGGGACTTGGCATCTCTGTTCTGAGAAGGACCAAGTTTCATGGCTTCTTGAATGATTTCAGAGGCTGTCAGTTATAGCTGCAAGGAGTCAGTGTGGTACGTTCACAGGACTGTGGTTAGTCAAGAGATGATGTCCCCATTAAGATTTTTCTTCAAGTTGGTTTAGTTTTCTTCGTGTTGATTTATTTCATTATTACCAATAATACAGAGCACCTGTGCCTGTATAATTACTTGTTGTAAACCTGGTGGCTTTCTCAGATTTGTGAATATATATGTGTGTGTGTGTATATATATATGTATATGAGGCGTTTGATGGAAAATGGTATAAACTTCTTAAATCAGCAGCACATTCCTAAATCTGCTTTTATGTCTGTTAATTAGGAATATATAAGAAGAGTCCTGTAGCACTAAGTGTTTTCCTGGATGAATGAGTGCTAAGTGGCAAGGACTAAACAAACACCTCTCTGCTACTAAATCTCCAAGATTTTGGGTTTTCAGCAGTTTGAATTGAAATACCAATCCTTGCTTTGTAGATTGTAAACTTCTAATTGGAAAGTGTCATACTCAGAGTACTTAAGGTAGCAACAAAATATTTATAACTCAGCAGATAACTAAGGAATCAAAATATGGTAACAAGCTGCCTGTGTGACAAGTAAGGAAAACTTTGTTGCCTGTATTTTTCCATATTCCATTATAAACTAGTAAAGTGATAAATTTATCTTAGATATAGTTAGTTTTAAGCCTATATGAATGTGCTCATACATTGGTTCCCAGTGTTCTTGAAAAACAGATTTCATGGTATAACCCTTTATGTAGCCCATGAGAGAAGGGTAGGATCATAGAATGGTTTGAGTTGGAAGGGACCTTGATCTAATTTCAGCCTTGTGCTATGGGCAGGGGATCAGGATAAGGAAGAGGGTAAGTCAAAGTTCTGTTTTACAGGAACTTGCAGTAGGGTTTCTGTCAGAGTGGGAAAAGTGTTTACAAACTTTCCAGCAGATTTTCTGTCTGGTGTAATGCTAATGAATGAGCACAGAGTTGTGTTTCACTCTCCAGCCTGTTGCTGAGTTCTCTGTGACAGGTGCCGAATGCAGCCTCGTGCAGCTTTTGTGAGTACTGTGTCCTTGGGGGAGGGCTTGGAAGTTTCCAGCTTCCACATGGACTCCAGCCTTTCTCGCATGGTTGATGTTGGAATACTCAGTATGACACCGTTTAAGTTTTTACATGCCTAATCCCTAATATGGAAGTAGTTTTCTGCTTTCTAAAGAAAACGCAGATCCTTTAGGTACTGAAACTCAGTGTTTTTTTAACCCAGCTAGGAACATTTCCTTATATTTAAGGTTTCTTGGGTTTGCTTTTTAAGGGGAATTAGCTATACAATCTCCTTTAGTTCCTTGGAATGTAAATCTCTGCACTGTGATTATATTTATGATTAAGGGTAATCTGTGTTTTGTAAAACATTATCTATTGGATTGTGACATGAGCTAACATCTACTTCTCACATGGAATACTTTTTGTTAGCACTGGAACTTGTTCTGTAGAAATACTTGTTTGGCCACAAAACTAAGATTTATATGCTGTTACTTTAAATAATATTTTTAATTATTAATACTATCCTTGAAGCTCTTCTTTTCTCTTATGCCTCTTAATTAAGAAAAAGTGTTCTAGTTCTTGATTTAACAGTATATCTTCAGGATAGTTGACATTCAACTTATTGTGGGTATCTGAAATTTCTTCCCTCCCTGCCTTCCCCCAGATAAGCTCATGTTATAAATGGATCATTTGGTTGGTTTCTTTGGTGACGATATTGCCATTTAGATTCCTTCGCTACATTTCTGTCCTTCATAGAACAGTGTTATTTCCCAAGAGCATTGGTTATCTGCAGAATGAACTATTTGTAGTTGTTTGTTGTTGGCGGTTTTTTTCCCCCCTTCCAGGTAAGTACAGTGAATACATGCTGGCAGTGTTCTCTTTTCCCTCAGAGTGAACAGGTTTATTTTTCTGTCTCTGTTGTCAAAGTGCACAGTGGTGTGACTTTGCTCTTGCAGTCCCTGTGCAAGGAATGCCAGTACTGTTCTGGTGAGCTGGTGAGCAGAGTGGGCTTGCCCCCAGATCTAAAGTGCACCCAAGCTGTGTTGAAGCTCTACTGGCGCTGGGGATTCTTCCTTTCTACTGCACAACAGGCCAGCCAGATCCCAAGGACAATTGTGTATTTGGCAAAACACTTAGCTTTTTCAGCTAAGCTGTTTTTTTCAGGGTACACAATAGCACTACTGCCTGTGAAGGGCTGGAGGAGGTGGGTGCCTCTGTTGCAGTGGGTGACATGTGAGGCCATGGCCATGATGGCAGCCGGAGTACGTGTGACTATCAGTCTGCCTGAGGCAGGTTTCAGCATCCCCATAATTAATCAGATCTCTTAATCCCTGGGCATTTCTGGCCTTTTCCATTTTTGTCGCTTAGTAATTCTACATCTTTGCACATCACCCTCACAGTAACATCCTGACTGTGTGGGGATAAAGTGATGTGGGACACATTTGGCAAAAGCTCTTGCTCAAAATGGATGGATTTGGAAGGAATATGCCATTGGTGCCAGCTCGTGCTTCAGATCTGATTTTGTTAGCATGATTGAATATCTTGATAGTGATAAGCATCCAGCCAGGAGCTGGGGTCATTGCAGCAGGGCAGTGTCACAATTGAGACAAGTGAGTAATTTCTATTCTCAGTGTACTTCTCAACCCAATCAATAATGCAGCCATGTTTTATGATTACAAAAGAAAGAAGTAGTAGTACAAACATATTTTTTGCTTACAAAAGAAAGAAGTAATTGTAATAATCTCTGTTAAGCTATGTCCCAAGCTTCTGTGCTCATGCAGTAGGAGCTTGCAAAACTGCAGCCAGAATAACGGCAAGTGATTTTCTTAATAATAAGCTTAAAAAAAGAAATAGTTCTGGTGCTTTATAAAAATTAAATTGTTCTTTTGATCTTGGATCAAGTAATATTATTTATTTATCTTTATAGTTAAAAAATAAAACCTGAGATAGTAAGTTTTGCAGTGTTCAATTCCAAACAGGGTTTAACAATTCAGTACAAATTTCCATGTGACTCAAACATGTAAATGCAAATCTTTTTTTCATTTCAGTAAAATTTTTCTAATTCATGTTTATGGTCAGTAGTTTGAGGTTGTGGACTCCCCATCCCTGGAAGTGTTCAAGGCCAGGTTGGATAGGGCTTGGAGCAACCTGGTCTAATGGAAGGTATCTGTCCCTGCCTTAGGGGGGTGGAACAAGATGATTCTTAAAATCCCTTCCAACCTAAACCTTTCTGTGATTCTATGCATTTATTACCCATAAACATTTTTAACAAGTCTCTGTGATTTTTTTTCAAATTAAGAATATTTGTAGTTCTAAAAATAGTGTATGATCTAATGCCTATTTCTGTGGAGTTGTGACAATGTACTGAATTTTTTCACCTGTTAGTTTATTGTAGAGCAGAATAAAGAAATTAGTACCAAGCTTTAGTAGTAATCCACTTCCTCAGGGATGCAGTTTTTTTAAACTACTGTAAGAGGATGATGAATCTTAGAAGATTCATTATAATACTGCGTTTTAGGGACAGTATCTTAATATTGCATTAAGTAAAATTTGTCCTGGAGCCTTGTAGAAGCATTTATCTTCAGAGAAGTCTGTCGCTGCAGACTGCTTGAGTGGCAAGTTT